AACACATCAGCACAACAACAAAGGCCACACAAGCACTGCTTAACAGCGACTCGTGGTGGTTTATTCTTAGACATTAATACACATTTCGATCTTTAAGTGTTATTGGTTTCAAGTTTATCATTTTGTATTGTTGCAACTGGGTTCGCGTTGAGCGCTTGTAACACTTCAGCGTCGAGATAAATGGAGTTTTTTCGTAAATGAATAATATCACTTGGCCTGTCCTGTTTACTGAACGAGTGCAGCCCATTGCAACGAATTTATCGACTCTAAAACATAATTAATTCAGTAAATCAACTGGTCGTCGGAAAGGAAGTATTGTGTTATTCAAAAACGATATTGAAATGAGTCTACATGAATAGAACGGTTTGGGGTTATCGCAGTACAATGCAGGTCAGATGGGCGTTTATCAACGAAATTACATTAAATCGGTTTTTGGGGGGACAAGTCGAGATGAACATTTGTTTATCGGCAATTAGCCGGTTAATTGGCCGTTTTTAGACAAACTATGTAACGTAGTAAAGGCGACGGCCGAGGGAATGGGGGAAAAGTGCCCCGATTTATCGCAGCTAGATAATTTGCTGATTTATGGCCAATATCTGTTACACTTACTTTCTCTCGATTACTGTTTTTATGCGATAATTGGTCGTTACTTTTAATTGAAATTGCGAAAACAACAGTCGATAATGGGTTTCATGCCTTCGCTTTAATTGTTATTTAATTTTTTCTCGATTAAAGGCAGGCAGGCGACATGAAGATGAACGATCGAGGGCAACAAACGTGGTATCCTTGGATGTTATCACAGTCGAAATCCGAATTTGCAATTATAAATCCTCCGTGTCGCAGATGATCGCCTTTAATGACTAATTCTTGTGCATGTAAATGAGAGGCAAGCCAGGTTAACTGCGCTACTTAACAGCTTCATCTCTCAGCTGTCAGGATCGGTATTGTCTCAGCTCTCAGTTTGCAATGTCGAGGCCCACTCGGCCCATTCTTGTCTCATTAGCGGGGTGGGTTCAATATAAATAATCTTCTAAATATGCTGGGCTCATTTGCTTGCCGACGCCCACCAGCCGATGGTAGAATCGGATAAATATTCGCGCGTTGTTTGTCATTCGCACCCAATATGGTACTGCAACTAATTTCACGACCTTTTGATAAGTCGCTAGACAATATTAAGCAACAATTGCCCGTGCATATTACCGCAGCGAACGCCGCTTCTAGGAAGCTATTAAAAACGTCTTAACGATTGCACATAAATCCTCGTTATGGCACTTCATAAAGCAAACAATACTGTATGTGGCCATGTGAGGCTTAATACAGGAAAAGACACTTTTGAATTAATTTTGAGTAATGAAAGCTCGCCAATAGCTGCCAGCAGAAACAAAGAAAAACAGGGAGATTTAGTGGCGTGCCTGGGAATTTATCAGGCAGTGTCTCACCGGTGATTTATTGGATAAATCAGGGCCGTACAGGTGATTGGCACACTGATCTAATTTGTTGGGTGAAACGGGGAAAAATGGCAAATTTTCCCATCGTGTTTGGAGAAAAAAAGGAGATTAAATTCTCGCTAAGTCTGAGGAATTTCTTCATCTTTACTTTCTTTTATAACTGATGTTGAAGTAGAAGTGCGATTTTAGTTTTAAGGATATTAGGGATAACACCAAAAATTCCTGATTAAATAGCTCATAAGTTCTGAGTCTCCCTATTTTTTTTTTCAAATAATTCATATTTAAATTAAATAAAAATATGTACCTACAGTTAAATTAAATTTATCCTTTCTTAAGCTCGACAAATCCAAATTTTCTTGTAGTTCCTAAAGGGTGCATATTTCGAAAGGCGCTAACCTCAGGTACCCTCAGGACCGATTTCGAGCCTATTAGCTCTCATTCAGCCTGAAATTAGTGACTCCAAAATCTGCACTTTATAAGCCAATGTATTCACATCGGCGTGAATCAAATCAAAAAAAGCAAATTAACAAGAAAGACCTTTACTCAGTGCGGCAAACCATCCATGAATCTCACTTGATTCAAGTGATGGAAAACAGGAAAACCATGCTTAGAAGACCACCGAGCTGTTGAGGGACAGATTCCGAAATTGAGGGCTTCAAACAAGAGGAGGAACAAGCTAAAGACCAAAATCAGAACAATAGTCTGAAAGCAAATTGAGAAAAATCACAGTAACTGGCCAAAACTGCTTAAAAGTATTGAGCTCAAGTGAAGCAGTTCCAGTCAAATTTAGAACACAGTTCAAACATCTAAGAAATGTTAGAAGTTGACTTGAAATCTAGCCTTGAAAGGTTCAAAAGCACAAAGACCCAAAAAAAAATACGAAAGAGTAAAAACTTCACTTCAAGTTTCTTCAAAAACATCTGGAAATTCCTGAAAGGTGGTCGACATTGAGCCTTTAACACCAACTTTAAGGGGTCAAAGTGATTGAGGGCGCCTCTATGTAAAGTCTTAAAGTTGATGAAAAAATTGGAACCTTAAGAAGCACAGTTGCAGCCCGACTTCAAATTTTAAAGTCTGATTTGATCTCGTCAACTCAGAAAGTCAAAGATCCAACTTAAAAAAAAATGCCGCTGTAGCTATTAGCGCTTTAATCGATGCCAAACAGTCAATCATCTGCTTAGCTTCCACTCAGCATTCAGATAATTTTTTGACAAGATTTTCGCTTGTTGCATAATGAATCGTGAACAATCGACAGTTTCTCACGATGCCGGGCGAGTCGATATTTACAAATTCAAGTTTCTACAAAGTCTACAAAAGTTCCATCATTGTCCCCTCAAGCTTAAGCTCTCAACTAAATCCTTCAGAACTGATTTACAAGTCAGATTCCGCAATGGATTGTGTTCGGAGCGCCATAAGGTTTGTTTCTGCCTTTATTCCACACCCCACTAATACCCCATTTTTATCGATAAATCCGAAGGTGTAGACGTGAAATTTACATATTTTTATAAACAACTTTTCATATTTACGTTCGCTGCTCATTAATTCGTAAACAATGGCCCCGCCTGCTTGTAATGTTTTACATAATTTTGTCACCTTTCTTTCTGCTCTCAACGCAGAAGTGAAACGGTGTTTACTTGTTCATGCCGATCCTAAAAACTAACCAGGTCCGGAAGCGGTTTTATTGTGGAAAGCGACACTTGAGTGTGAAAAATCGCCGTTGCATCAAGGAATTCGACCCAGTTAGCCAATCTATTTACAGGAAAATTCCTGCGGGAAAAATGTCGAGGGTTTGCTGGTTCGGACCACCTAGGACGAGCAATGCGCCCATTTACATCGAAGATGGATGGATTCGTCGGTCCAGCCGGATTTAATTGCCATTACAATCAATAAATCCACCGAAACCGCATTAATAATGCCCAAAACCAGCTCCAATCCCATGGGGCATTGTTGTTTAACTTTGAAGATTCTTCAGCCGATTTTTTGCCTTTCTCTCGCTCTCCACTCAGGCATATCTCCAAAATTCCCACCATAAAACGGTCAAGCCAGTCACTTAGGCAAATCGGCCTTTAAGCACTATTAAAAGTGGAATCCTAAAAGCTTTAACACCTTTAAGGCCTTTATCAACAATAGTGCCTTTTTTCAAATAGGCACAAAGCCGCAATAAAGCTGCTATTGGAGCGGCTTCAAATGCAGCTTTTCTTACATTTTTATCACGAGATTTTTTATTGCCTTATTAATGGATTCCGAAACGAACAGAGAGCCCAACAGCCAAAAACCCCACTATTTAATTAAACCTAGTTTCCCTTCTAGGTAACAGAGAGCAGGCCTCTAGACCGAAACCCCACTGGGCGACTTTTAGAGCAGTCGCTTTATTTTATCTTCCAGCTAACACGAAAAATAAATTCCATTTTAACGTTGTTGTTTATCTAAAGTGGCAGTTTGAAGAGAGAAAAAGGAACGTTTAGTACATTAAAACGCACTTAACAGTACCGAAGGTCTAAATGTTTCTGTCCTGGTAGTTCCTGTCGGTTGCCCAGAGCCGGATTGCTGCTTTTGCTCAACGTTTTTAAAACAAACCTGCAGAAATTCTGTGGAATTATTAAGGAAAATATTTGTTGCCTCTAGCAGCACTGAATCAGCCAATCGGAGGGGTTAAACGCATGCAAAAAATGTGCAAAGAAAAGTTGAAATGCGGCTAAAAGAATCTGAATCCCACACTGTAAAATGGCTAGTGTTTACCGTCCCAGAAACCCATAAACGGTGTACGGCAAATCATCATTCCTTACAGGCCTTTTTTCCCTCTCACAGGGTCGACAGAGCTTTAAAAATGGGCTTTATGGCGCCGATAACAAAGTGAAAACGACCCGAACCAGTGAAAAATTCAAAGTTTAATGAGTGCACAAAGGGAAAAAATGCGTCTGGGCCTTATTACCAGAGAGGAGCAGAAAAAGGAAACTTGCTCCTGAAGATCTTGTCACGGCCTGTCAACGTTACAGTGTATTTGTGGTTAGTTTCCCAGTTGCGCTCTTCAAGACTTGAACGAAAAATGAATCCAAACAAGCGATTAAATGGCGTAAATTGGGCAGTTTGTAAGTGAGGCAAAGAAGCGAAATCAAGCCCTTAAGCTCGGCAAACCCTGGAAACCTGAACCCAATTTCGACTCAATACCGAATTTGCATTACGTGGTGCGAATCTTGAATGGGGCCAGACGCGAGCAAATTTATTCCCGGCATGTCAAATTAGAGGTGAAACAGGCAAGTTCTACACGAATCGCGCTACAAATCGCTCTCCATTTTCGGCATGCCGGGCACGTTTGCTCTCTGATAGTTTTCAGATGCCATAAATCCTCAAATCATAAGGTAAAGCGACCAGCATCTCGCACTTCCTGTTCGGTTGATCGGGCCCGACTTGCATTCTAATCACTCAGAGGGACCCACTCCAGATTAGACAGATTCATTGGTTTAGGGACATTTTTTTTTGGCCAAAAATCCACAACAAAACGTCCGGAAAACAGCAGCCAAGAAATATGACAGTTGTTTAGTTTAGACTTACCAACTAAGAACTGCGCCACTGGTGAGCTCGATTAGGCCATTCTGGGCTTCAATTCCATTGAATCTGAAATAGGACAAATGCGTCAACAAACAGCTGGAAAATTGCAATTAAAATAGTGGTAGAAGTGAGGTTTCTTCATTAAGGAACAGACTTGTTCCAGCGCCGCTAAACAAACACCCACAAAAATGCCTGGTCCAGGAAGCGAACACCTTCGAAACGAAAGTGTCAACGTTAAAAATGTATCGCATGTCGCCTGAAGCCTCAGATCTTCAGAAAACATAAAAATATCGAAATCCTAGACGAAAAGAAAACAACACATGTGTTAGGATGGAGCAATTGGCGCCACTTGCCAGATTTTCCTTGAAATGTTTCATTGTGCATTCGTTTTTGTGCTCACAATAACAGCTTCCAAGGGCGAGTGGCAATTAATTGCAAAAATTCCGGAAAATTTGCGCGACTGATTTCAAGTTCTATGAATCACCGTAAAAGTGGCCAAAAGAACTTTTCCAGTTTATCATTTCAATTTACCGATTCATTTTATATTTGTGCGAGTGCTAATTTCGGTCGGTCTGGCACGCACCTTTCTAGGGATGATTCTATACAAGTAAATACAAGTAGGTAGTCGATACTTTTGTTTCGATACCGAGTACTTTGGTAATTTAATCGTTCTTTCGATACCAATACTTGGTATCGAAATAAAGTTCTCGTATCGAATCGAATTATCAAAAGTGTAAACACTGCCCAAAGTCACAGAACATATATTTATGAAGATATAGGATATTTTGTGAAGTCTATTGAAGAACTTGAGTTGGATATCTTACAGCCATCAACATCTAGCGGTTCTAAATTAGAAAACCTGTTGGAATGAAAAAGTTTTTTTGATGCGAGTACGGATATACCTCCACAAAGGACTTTAGAAGTCGCATTTTTACAAGCTTCGGCCAATAAGGAAAATAAATTATTTCTAGTACTTTTTCTTTATTGAATATAATAGATACATCTATTTTGGAGGGAGGTTCAAAATACAACAAAATAGTGCAGGCTTTAGCGTTTTTTGTTTGCAATTATTGCCTTCCTACATTGTGGAAAGAGAAGGATTTTTACGCTTTCTGAACGTGCTTCAACCTAATTTTAAGATACCTACTTAGTGCAGCTTATTTAAAAAAGATGACCCACAAAAATTATGAAGCTTGTGTAGCTATAGCTAAAGCTAAATTTTGTCAAAGATTAACAATATTGGTCTCAGATTGGACTGAAACAATGAACGAGCGAGGTTTCTTAGGTGTGACATGTCATTTTCTTCAAAATAGTTAAATGCATATGCTCTATCTAGCTATTCCTACGCTCAATGAAATATTTGCCCTGTTTGGCTCACACAATAAATCACATCGTTGAAGAGGCTTCAAAATGACCAAATGTGAAAACAACTAAATCTAAGGTTCGTGA